GCAAAGTTTTTAGCCCATAAACCAGAACAGTCTTGGAAAAGTTTAGGTGTTTCTGTTTGTTCATTCAGTGAGCTCCATTTCTCTGGCTTGCTTGCTCTTCTCCTCCTCCTCCACTCCTCTCACCTATCAGTGTTATTCTAGGAGAGAACTATGGCTTGTGATATTTAGATAATGCTTTTAATCCTTTATGCAGACACAGCTGTTCTCTGATCTCATGGGGACAGCTTCTCTAGGTTCACAATTCTCAGTCACGATATTTTTCTACACTGAAAATATCATAAGGCAATATCTAGATCTATTTTCCACCACCAATATATGTTCAGTGTCTAACACATGGTAATGCTGAATAAATTTTTGCTGAATAATCTGTGGATAGAATATATTCATCAGTTAGAGACTGTTTTTTTTTTACACATTATTGCTTTATGCCTTACCAAATACAACTTTTCTTTTAAGCAAAGGAGTTCAGCCATAAAAGTTAATGGCAAAGCATTGTTAAACGTTTATTGTCTACCAGACAGCTTTCTTTTTTTCTGTTTCATTAGAGGAAATTCATTAGTGGTGAGTTTTGATTAAACTTGTGCCAGGGATTGAACCCAGGGCCTTGAACATGCTAGGCAAGTGCTCTACCACTAAGCTACATCCCCAGTTCCACTATGGGGAGTCTTTTAAATTTAAAATCAGTTTGGGGAAACTCCATCACACCTTCAGAAGAAATAAAATTAGTAAAAAGTTGATTCACAGTTTAAAGCCAGTGAGTTTTATTCTTCTCTAAAGAATAGTTGTTTATTTAAAAATATAAGTCAGGCTTAGTGGCGCATACCTGTAATCCCCAGTGGCTCAGGAGGCTGAGGCAGAAGAATTGAGAGTTCAAAGCCAGCTTCAAGCAATTTAGTGAGGCCCTAAGGAAATGTTGAGACCCTGTCTCTAAATAAAATGTTTGTTTTTTTTTTAAGGGCTTGGGGTGTGGCTAAGTGGTTAAGTGCTCCTGGTTTAATCCCTGGCACCAAAAGTATTTTTTTTTAATGAAAATATAAACTGTTTAAGGATGTTAGATTGTTCTTACAAGTAGATAAAGAATAAATTTGTGGAGTCCCCCTACCCTCCCTTTCTAATTCTGTGACAGAATATTCTAAGCATATTTGTTTAGTCAACAAATATTTAATAAAGATCTACTCTATGCCAAGCACCATTCTAAATGCTGCGGTTATAGTAGTGAATAAAACAGACAAAAATCTGATGCTCGAGAAGTTTATATTATAATTGAGGAATGTAGATGATAAAATATATTGCATATTAGATGTTGGTAAATAATTTTGAAAAAACTGAAGCAAGGCTAATGAAAGGCATTTGTTTGTATGAACAGCACCCTTTCTCCTTCAGCATGTCAGGTTAGGTTTGAGATTCTTCCTCTGAGGTTGCTCCTGGCTGGGATGCATGCTTTCATAATGTAGCCAAGGTCAGTTTACTTTCGTAAATATTTAAACCAGAACTTTGAATTTGTTATGACTTTATAAAAGGAAATTATCAACATATTTCATCCCATCAGTTTTTTAAAAATAGAAACAGTCTCAGGATTCTATTAAGTTGTAATCCCATGAAAACTGAGGGAGGTTGAGGTAGATAATGACCTCTTAGCTACCTTTCAAATTTGCTGCCAAGAAAGACCCACATAGGAGTCAGATGAAGATCACAGATAGATTTTATTTTTGATAAAGCTAGACAGAAAATTTGGCTTAGATTTTATCCAAAATGTGCTCCTCAGTATTTTTTTAATATTTTATTTTTTAATTGTAGTTGGACACAATATCTTTATTTTATTTATTTATTTGTTTATTTTTATGTGGTGCTGAGAATGGAACCCAGGGCCTCGCATGTGGTAGTCAAGTAGTGATTGAAAGTCCTTGAAACAACCTAGGAGTCTACAAAACAGACTTCCTTAACCCCTAGTGAGCTTTTAAACCCAGTAAGCTCCAGCTTCAGGGAAACTGAAGGTTGGACCCATTTTACCTGCAGAAGGCAGGTGGTCCTAACCTGGTGTACTTACCATAAAGCAGCATAAGGGAAGCAAGAAACATACCCTTCAAGGCAGGCAGATCTAAGAATGAGTAGGAAGGGTGTGCACTTTTTTTAGCAGTGCCTTCTCTCATTTGCCTTGAGTCAGTTCATTCTCACTTTAGTGGAGGATAGTGAATAAGGAATAGAAAGAAAACAGATGTGTTATGCCGAAAACTTTTACCTTCTGGAAAGTGAAGTGGGAAACATCACTATAAAAACGTGAGAATTTTTATTATAGTAAATGCAAAATGGGGAAAAACGATTAATGTATAATTCGTAAGTAGTACACGTGCCTTAAATGTTGATTCTTTTTGGTTGTTGTAGTAGTTGTAGTTGTAGATGCACAGCATGCCTTTATTTTATTTGTATATTTTTATGTGATGCTAAGGATCAAACCCATGGCCTTACATGTGCTAGGCAAGTGCTCTGCAACTGAGCTACAGCCCCAGCCCAAATGTTGATTCTTTGGGTTTGCTCAAATATCTATCCTTAGACAATATCTTTAATTTTTGCCTTTGGTAAAGGTTAATACTTTTTAATTGTTTTACATTTATTTGTAGGTTGGGGTTTATGGGTTGAAGTAAGGAAATATTTGTAGAAGTTATTTTGAGAGAACAGTGTTACAGTTTAATTGCACTGAACAAAGTATTAAACAAATTTGCCCATTGTTTGATTCATGATATAACTACAACAGTATTAAGTCATAATATTATATGAAAACCTGTATAGTTGAAAAAGTGAGTTAACAGAATTCTTTTAAGTGGAATTTGATGTGAAATTCTGTGAATAAGCTGGTATTTAATTCATTTACTATCTTGTTTGTGGTTTTCTATTTTTAAGAAAAATAAAACTAACCAACTAAAACTAAAGAAAACATACATTTAAAAAAAAGAGTTTAAAGATTTGCTAAAGCATTGCTTTCCTGTTGGATTTTACAGTGGTACTAAATGCTAGCTTTACAAATTATCGTGGTACAGAGAATCTACAGGAAAAAATTATAAATGGACATCTCAGGCAACATGTTAGGAATGAGCTAACATTTTCAAGAGGATTTCTTTCTGTGGATGTTAAAACTATGAAATATTATTGTTTAAACATGAAAAAAATTAGGAAAATCCAAATTATAGAACTGAAAGGAGGCTGGGTGTACCTCAGTAGTGAAGTTGTACTTTGCAGGGCCGGAGGGAAAGAGGCAAGAAGGGGTCCTTACATAAAATTTTTGTGATAAAGATGAAGATCATACTTAAAGTGTATCAAGCTAGGGTTGTAGCTCAGTGGTAAAGTACTTGACTAACACGGGTGAGGCCCTGGGTTCGATTAAATAAAATAAAGGTTAAATTCTAAAAAAAATAAATAAAAATAAGAAAATAAAGTGTATCATACTTTTATGTAGACATAAAGGGTTTTTCCTGCTGATAGTTCTTGGATTAGTGGCTTAATATAAGCCTGATCAAGAGATAGGTTGTCAAATTACATGACCACTTAAATTTTGTTCTGACTGTATTATTTTATGATAGGTTATGAAGATTATTTTAATTAGTAAAAGGAGATTACTTTACCAGGGCTAGCTCAAATTTTTCTCAGTTTATCATATCCTTGCATATAATTCCCTCAAATTTAGGTATACGATGCATATATGCTATTTGTTTCTGTTGATTAGTAATTAGCTAAGGAAATTGTTACTGGGTGCCTATTTTGCATGTCTCTGGCTCATAATATACATGGTTAAAACCATAAAGTAATAAACAAGTCAAGTGTAAATTCTGCTGGCAGTGGAAAATCAGCAAAAGAAATACCTTCAGTACTATTATTAAATGCTTTAAAAAGCAGTATATCATCTTTACCAACTTTGCCAATTTGTAGTTCAAAACCATTTTTCCCTTGAGTGCTATAATATGTAAATTATGTTCAAATAATGGAAATCTATCCTTCATCATTCTCAAAAACAGATTGTACTAATAAAATTGGCCAAGTATATAAATTTTCATTAATATGCTAAACATTGTGTTTTCTTCAAAGTCTTCCATCTGGTGTAGAGTTCTTATCAGGGCCTTAGTAGTCAAGTTTCAAACCTCATGAATTCCTTTAGTGTTAACCCAGTCCAGAGACTTAAGTATGTGGTTATTTGTTTCATATCCCTGTCTATTTGTCACATTCTCATTGTTGAAAGGTTGGTGAACAGAGGCTATGCCTGTTATCCCTGGTCTTATCCATCACAAATTTAAATTTTCAACACCTCAACTGTGAACTGTGTTTTTCTCAACATAGTTGGCTGAGTGCCTTCTCTCTGCTGTTATAAGTGACTCTCAGCACTGACATCAAAGTGCTTGTTCTTCCAGCCTTCCATTTGAGTGGGCAGGCTCTATTCAGAGCCCATGTCCAGGCAAGTGTTACTAGGATTCTCTTGACACTGATTTGAGGCCCCAGGTTTAACCAACGTTAGCTAGCCAGCAACTCCTATGATTAAGTGATACAGTTATGTGTAATTGTGCGTATCCACTCCTGAGAGAATTTGCACCAGAATTTGAGCAAGACAGTATGAGGAGAGATGACCTTAGGAAGGTGAGAAGACCATCTAGGAATACCATGAAAGAGGGACAGCATAAGCCATGAGTGATAAGGAGAGAACGCGCAATTTCTAGAACTCCCTGACTCCTGATAGATTTCCACTTCCAGTTCACTTATATAACTAAACACCTCTTCCTACCTTTTAAAGGTGATTTAAATGAATTTCTCTGTATTAGAATTCAATCATAACTTGTTTTCTCTGTGAAAAAATACTGAGCTGAATTTCAGTGAACTAGCTTCTAACCTTGGGAAAGTTACCATTGAATCCTCTAGTTCTAAATATATGATTATATATAAAATTACTATTAGTTTTAATTTTCTTTCTCAACTTTAATTCTTTTACTCTAAATAAGTAATCTGTCAACTTCTTTTAGATGCTGAGGACATGTTCACTGCCAGATCTCTCAAAGCTGTTCAGCACCCTAATGGATGTTCCCACTGTAGGAGATGTTCATCAAGACAATCTTGAGATAGATGAAATTGAAGATGAGCACGTTAAAGAAGGGCCTTCTGATTCCGAAGACATGTAAGCATAATGCCACTAATAAATACTAGCACTAATTTCTGAATTGATGATTTTTTAAAAGTTCAGAGAGGTTAACTAGATAGTTTATTTTTAATGTTTTAAAGTCCTTTTAACATTTCTTTTTCATTTTTTAATTTTTATTTTTTTTAGTTGTAGGTAAACACAATATCTTTGTTTTATTTATTTATTTTGTGTGGTGCTGAGGATCCAACCCAGTGCCTCATGCATGCGAGGCAAGCACTCAACTACTAAGCTACAACCTCAGCCCCTAGACAGTTTTTTAAATGATCTATAGCTGATGTTTTATTACTTGTAACTTTTTATAACTTATTTAAAATATAATCATGAAATTTTGAGAATGTATATCTGCCTCTAAATAATATAGTAACTTTATAAGAAAGTGGTTTCAATTTTGTTCATTGTTTTCTTCATCATTGAGTATCCAGCATACTACCTTGGATATAAGCTTAATATTTGGTTAAATGAATAAATGTAAACAGGATAATGACTGTTTAATAGTGATACAAGGATTGCAATGGGAAATTTTGAAGTAATTAATACACTGCACTTCTCCTCCCAGGAAAATTACCAGAAAGCTGCACATGTATCTTTTACCATGTTTGATTTTAGGGCCATGTCAATGGGGAATTGGCAGGGGAGGAATGTACCTGCACAGATATGTGGAGGTGATTTGGGGTGGGATGTAGTCTGCATGTGATTCGATTGCCTTCACAAAATTATTTTCTTTGTGATCGAAGGGGAATTTAGATTTCAAGAAGGAATTTAATGGATAACACTTCTGAGAGCTATAGAGAGTGGTGACTCCTTCGATAAAAATCCTCTTATACTTTCTCCAATATCAATCCCTCAGACAAATGTTGTAAACTTTGGGGGGAAATAAAACCAGAATATTCTGGAATAAAGTGTTTGAAAACATATAGTATATTCAAATTACTCCAAGAATAAATTATTAAATATTAGAATTATATGATTTATTTTGATGTTTTTAAACTTAAATTTTAGCTTCTCACCTCTGCCTTTAAATGGAAAGACCCTAGAATATTTATCTGATTAAAAGCATTTTATCAGTGTTATAATTTTTCTTTTTTTTTTTTTTTTTGATTCTTTTTTTATTATTAGTTGTTCAAAACATTACAAAGCTCTTGACATATCATATTTCATACATTTGATTCAAGCAGATTATGAACTCCCATTTTTACCCTGTATGCATATTGCAGATTCACATCGGTTCCACATCCACTTTTTTACATACTGCCATACTAGTGTCTGTTGTATTCTGCTACCCTTCCTATCCTCTACTATCCCCCCTCCCCTCCCCTCCCCTCCCCTCTCCTCCCATCTTCTCTCTCTACCCCATCTACTGTAATTCATTTCTCTCTCTTGTTTTTTTCCCCTTTGCCCTCACTTCCTCTTATATGTAATTTTGTATAACAATGAGGGTCTCCTTCCAGTACCATGCAATTTCCCTTCTCTCTCCCTTTCTCTCCCCCCACTCGTCTCTGTTTAATGTTAATCTTTTCCTCATGCTCTTCCTCCCTGTTCTGTTCTTAGTTGCTCTCTTTATATCAAGGAAGACATTTGGCATTTGTTTTTTAAGGATTGGCTAGCTTCACTTAGCATAATCTGCTGTAATGCCATCTATTTCCCTGCAAATTCCATGATTTTGTCATTTTTTAGTGCTGTATAATACTCCATTGTGTATAAATGCCATATTTTTTTTATCCATTCATCTATTGAAGGGCATCTAGGTTGGTTCCACAGTCTAGCTATTGTGGATTGTGCTGCTATGATCATTGATGTGGCAGTATCCCTATAGTATGCTCTTCTAAGATCCTCAGGGAATAGTCCGAGAAGGGCGATAGCTGGATCAAATGGTGGATCCATTCCCAGCTTTCCCAGGAATCTCCATACTGCTTTCCAAATTGGCCTCACCAATTTGCAGTCCCACCAGCAGTGTACAAGTGTACCCTTTTCCCCACATTCTTGCCAGCACTTATTGTTGTTTGACTTCATAATGGCTGCCAATCTTACTGGAGTGAGATGGTATCTTAGGGTGGTTTTGATTTGCATTTCTCTGACTGCTAGAGATGGTGAGCATTTTTTCATGTACTTGTTGATTGATTGCATGTCCTCCTCTGAGAAGTGTCTGTTCAGGTCCTTCGCCCATTTGTCGATTGGGTTATTTGTTATCTTATTGTTTAATTTTTTGAGTTCTTTGTATATTCTGGATATTAGGGCTGTATCTGAAGTGTGAGGAGTAAAAATTTGTTCCCAGGATGTATGCTCCCTATTTACCTCTCTTATTGTTTCTCTTGCTGAGAAAAAACTTTTTAGTTTAAGTAGGTCCCATTTGTTGATTCTTGTTATTAACTCTTGTGCTATGGGTGTCCTATTAAGGAATTTGGAACCCGACCCCACAATATGTAGATTGGAGCCAACTTTTTCTTCTATCAGACAGCGTGTCTCTGATTTGATATCAAGCTCCTTGATCCATTTTGAGTTAACGTTTGTGCATGGCGAGAGAAGGGGATTCAGTTTCATTTTGTTGCATATGGATTTCCAGTTTTCCCAGCACCATTTGTTGAAGATGCTATCCTTCCTCCATTGCATGCTTTTAGCCCCTTTATCAAATATAAGATAGTTGTAACTTTGTGGATTAGTCTCTGTGTCCTCTATTCTGTACCATTGGTCCACCGGCCTGTTTTGGTACCAGTACCATGCTGTTTTTGTTACTGTTGCTCTGTAGTATAGTTTGAAATCTGGTATCGCTATGCCGCCTGATTCACACTTCCTGCTTAGAGTTGCTTTTGCTATTCTGGGTCTTTTATTTTTCCATATGAATTTCATGATTGCTTTATCTATTTCTACAAGAAATGCCATTGGGATTTTGATTGGCATTGCATTAAACCTATAGAGAACTTTTGGTAATATCGCCATTTTGATGATGTTAGTTCTGCCTATCCATGAACAGGGTATATTTTTCCATCTTCTAAGATCTTCTTCTATTTCTCTCTTTAGGGTTCTGTAGTTTTCATTGTATAAATCTTTCACCTCTTTTGTTAGGTTGATTCCCAAGTATTTTATTTTTTTTGAGAATATTGTGAATGGGGTGTTTTTCCTCATTTCCGTTTCAGAAGTTTTGTCGCTGATATACAGAAATGCCTTTGATTTATGCGTGTTGATTTTATATCCTGCCACTTTGCTGAATTCATTTATTAGTTCTAGTAGTTTTTTTGTAGACCCTTTTGGGTCTTCTAGGTATAGAATCATGTCGTCCACAAATAGTGATAATTTAAGTTCTTCTTTTCCTATTTTTATGCCTTTAATTTCTTTCGTCTGTCTAATTGCTCTGGCCAGTGTTTCGAGAACTATATTGAATAGAAGTGGTGATAGAGGGCATCCCTGTCTTGTTCCAGATTTTAGAGAGAATGCCTTCAATTTTTCTCCATTCAGAATGATGCTAGCCTGAGGCTTAGCATAGATAGCTTTTACCATGTTGAGGTAAGATCCTGTTATCCCTAGTTTTTTTGAACATAAAGGGATGCTGTACTTTGTTGAATGCTTTTTCTGCGTCTATCGAGATGATCATATGGTTCTTATCTTTAAGTCTATTGATGTGGTGAATAACATTTATTGATTTCCGTATATTGAACCATCCTTGCATCCCAGGGATGAATCCTACTTGATCATGGTGCACAATTTTTTTGATGTGTTTTTGTATCCGATTCGCCAGAATTTTATTGAGGATTTTTGCATCTAGGTTCATTAGAGATATTGGTCTGTAGTTTTCTTTCTTTGAGGTGTCTTTGTCTGGTTTTGGAATCAGGGTGATGTTGGCCTCATAGAATGAATTTGGAAGAGCTCCCTCTTTTTCTATTTCCTGAAATAACTTGAAAAGTATTGGTATTAATTCTTCTTTAAAGGTTTTGTAAAACTCCGCTGTGTACCCATCCGGTCATGGGCTTTTCTTGGTTGGTAGTCTTTTGATTGCTTCTTCTATTTCATCCATTGATATTGGTCTGTTCAAATTGTGTGAATCCTCCTGACTCAGTCTGGGCAAATCATATGACTTAAGAAATTTATTGGTGTCTTCACTATATTCTATTTTATTGGAATATAGGTTTT